TTTTCGGATTCCGAATTTCCGGTGGCGCCCCTCCGGCCATCCCGCGGCGCACCACCCCCACTCCGGCATCGGAAGGGCGCTCAAAGGGCGCCCTTCCACTTCCAGCAAAACCCTCCACCCCTAGTTCAATTTTTTTTTTTTTTGGAAGGTCCGGCGCCTCTCCGATGTATATGTTGGTTTCGCCCTTGACTCACACAATTTTAACTAATCATCGCTCCATATAATCTCTCTCCTACTTTTAAATCAAATTAATTTTAATTATTTTATTTTAATTTTTATTTTAATTTTAACTAATATATCTTTTTTTTTTCCCCTACAAGCAACAAATACTAATATAAAACTTCAATTAAAGTAGAATTGGTAACAAACGAGTTACAAAAATCATTCTAATTGTCAAGTGACAGAAAGAAACGAACCAGAGGGAGTCACTTTAACATAAAAGTTCTCCCTCCCAATAATCCTACAAAAAACATAACTTTTATAGCCAATTTTCCTCGAAATCAATTAATCCTTGTTCTATGTTTTATATTTTTGTACTGAGTTGTAACCTTATACTGTGTTCTGGTCAAATTCCATGTATTGATACATTGTACTACACTGCGGCCATTGTTGTGGTCACAACTCATTGTTGTAATGAGTGTTATAAATAAATAAATGGACAAATAAAAGTTTCATATTATGAAATAAGGTCAAAGAGAATAAGAGATGCATGCCCGTTTTCCTTGCCTCGTCTTTTATTTACAATACAACTAACTTTTTCTTCAATACTAGTGTGTGTTCCGTGCGATGCACGGACAAACATTTTTCTTAAAATATTTTCTAAAATTTTATATTAAACATAATTATTTATACTTAACATCTTCTATACTAGTAAAAGATTGATTTAATATTATTTGAAAAATAATGCGACATTAAAAACGAAATCAAATCATTGTCACACAACGACTAACATTTAAATTTTAAAAAATATTTATACATGAGGAATATATAAAATACACGAACTAAACCAAATCAACCTGTTATAATTTAAAAGCAATACGTTGACCTCACCATTATAAATCATTAAAATTCGTAGTGATCAATGAAGATATTATTAAAAGCTTCAAAACTGATTGACATATTCGTAGTGATCAAAGATTAGGATTTTTATTATTGAAAAACGTATAGTTTGTTAAGTAAGTTGTAAGATAAATAAGGAGATTGAATTTTAAGAGATCCTCATGTTTTTAGAATTTTTTTCTATTATATAAATTGATTGACAAATATTTTCTAAAATAAGTTGTTGAGATAAATTAAGTTAATATGATAATTACATAAATATATTTTGAGAGATAGTGTAAACCTTTTCTTTTTCTCTCCCAAACAATTTTTGTTTTGTTTATTGTACATGTAATAAGAATTTCTTTAATTTAAAAATTATAATTTTAAAAAAATATTTTGATAATTAAGAATTTTTATATTTTAAATTGTTTAAGTAAGTTGTTAGATAAATAGAGAGATTAGATTGTAAACAATAGATCGAATTCTTAAAAAGTAAACTTGTTTTATTTATTGTACATGTAATAAGAATTTCTTTATTTAAAAAAATCGTCATTAAAAAAATTGATGACTAAGAATTCTTATATTTTGAAATATTTTGTTGAATCAATTATTATAATCTATATAGGATGTGATATGGGATATTGTATATAGTAATCAGTGTTCTAGAAGTCGTTAGGCGTCCGACCAGCGCCTAGCGCCTAGAGCGCCTAGTCTGGGCCTAGGCGGGGCCTAGAAATTATAATAAATATATTATTTTTTATTTATTTTTACAATTTCACTAATGAAATTATAACTTATAATTAATAAATCCATACTCCTAAGTCCCATGAATATTATTAATATTATATTATAAAAAAAAACTCCAAGTCAAAATAATTACATAACCACAATATAACTTCTTCTCACTGTAATTTTATCAAACACATTATCTACATGTTATGTTTTAAATATTACACAACATAAGATAAACATAAAAAATTATAAAATAATAAATTATAAGATTTATAATTTAAACTAAATGCGTTTAGTAGGTAAAAAAAAAAAATTGTAAAAACCGTCTAGAACCCGCCTCGGCCGCTTAGAACCCGCCTCAGCCGCCTAGTCCCGCCGAAACCGCGTAGCCGCCGAGGCCGCCTAGCTCCGCCTAGGCCCGACTAGGCGCCGCCGAGCCCGCCCGGCCGATTTTTATGGCCGATTTGGCCAAATCGTAGGCGTTGTACCGGCGCCTAGCGCCTAGACGGCGCCTAGGCGGCCGCCTAGGCCGACTTTTCGAACACTGATAGTAATATAAACCTGACCGGTCCGCTGGAACGAGAGAGTGAACCGGGCAGATCGAATCAGTCAAACGAAACACATGTACGGACAAAGAGGCCTCAAGGTCAGAGATAGGCAGACCTTGGGAGGGCTCAACAAACCTCATGATATAAGAGATCTGGTCGAAATGAGGGGTGGTCGAACAATAATATTTCGTTCGCCCAGATACGGTCGAATCCAGTACTGATAGAATGACTTAGCAGCCCACCTAGATATGGTCGAGCCCTAGAGCCTCTAGAGAATCTTCAGCACGTGAGAGGAGGACACGCGGCACGCAACGAGTGGTCCAGGGCGATAACGGTCTCTGACATTCTCTGACACCACCTGACGTGTTTCTGACACCAAGGTAGTGGAGGCAGGCGATTGTACGACCGAGTAGTGGAGACAACCAGCTCAACTCACCCAAGCAGCGCGTGGGAACAGGTAACTCGTCCCTATAAATAGGGACGAGATCTCTGATTTCAGACACTAATCTCTCATACATACATATTTTCCACACATATTCTTCATCTTCTCAAGACTGACTTGAGCGTTGGAGGCTCTTCACCGAAAAAACTCCCGGTGTGATATTTATTTGCAGGTCCGACATTCTACTAGCGAGGAAGACGATCTTGGAGCGGTTTCCAGCTGGTCGGCGTTTACACTTGTATTAGGATGCTTTTCAATATAGTATTCTTTGACCAGATATATATAGAATATGTACAATATATATTTCATTTTATATTTTTTTAAAATACACAAATCTCCAAACATATACAACAAATCTATGACCTTTGACCGAACATATAGATGTAGGATTTTGACCGGATATACAATGATGTGGTGGAATTAATTTCGAATTTGAAAACATGCGATCGGCGGGAGAACCCAAAATATTTCAAAACAACATTTCCATTATTAGTAAAAAAATAAAAATAAAAATTCGAGCAAAAAAGTTTTAATGCTATTTTTGTATTATTTTTTTTCTTATATAGTAATAGATTTTACATATATAATAAAATAAATTTGGTAAGAAACTAAGAATCAAAACGTGTACAACACATTTACTCCATGTTATTATATTGCTTC